ATCATCACATCTCCTCATTACATTTCATCATCACATCTCCTCATTACATTTCATCATCACATTCACATTATCACATCATATTCACAGTTTTCACAAAGCACTTTTATTCATATCAGAACTCATCTATTTGCAAAAGTAAACATATATTCATACATCTCATACAACAAGGAATACAACAGAATAATCAGAAGGTAAAACAGAAAATATTAGAAATATGTCTGTTTCTCATAGGGTTCCCACAAGAACCCACAGAGCACTCTAATTCATATCAAAACTTGTTTATTTTTAAAATTAGACACATATTTACACTTAGTAAATATCAAGAAACACAGTAGAAAACTTAGAAGGTAAAACATAAAACATTTAAAATTTGTCTCTTACAATTATCAATGCATTCCCTTAGGGTTTCCCATAGGAAACCATATAGATCTCAATTCATACAATTAATTACATATAAGAAAACAATAGGTAAAACATATACAATTGGGGAAAACCCCTCACACATAAGTATACAAAAAATACAACAAACACAGGATTGGGGGTCAATCCCACTACCCAACAGATATTCCCACACCCAAAGCGAGGTTTCTCACTCCTCCCTTACCTGGATGAGCAGAAGACGAATGGTCTTGGTGTGATCTAAGATCGTTCCTGAGTACTCTTCCTTAGAGCTCTTTGTTTTTCCTATCTTTTTTTCCCTAATCCTTCAGAATGCAAATGAGGCAGATACGGTTAACACTACCTGATTTCTTTCTTAAAATTAATCTATTGGGCTGGGTCAACCCAACCCATTTTCCTTCTCTTCTAACCCACTTCTCTTTTTCCTCAAAATAATTAAATAAAATAAATACATGTATATTATAAAATATTTTTCCTCTATAATAATAATATATTTCTGACCCAAAATATAATAATATAATTTCAATAACAAAATATCATATAAAATCAACCTTCTCTTAAAACATATAAATATTTATTTAAAAATGCTAATAAAAATACTTATTTAATACGTACAAAATAATTGTCCAAAATAATAATTATTTAAAACGTACAAAATAATATTTCTATATAATTATTAAAATAATTATGACCAAATACCATATAATAATAATAATAATAATAATAATAATAATAATAATAACCTTTTTGAAAACTGGGGTATTACAATACTTCCCCCCCCCCCCTTTTAAGAAATTCGTCCTCGAATTTCTAAAATGAAGAGGTTCGACTATGACTCCTTCATTAAACTCAAGATTCGTCCTAAACTTCCTAGGCAAACCTACAACAAAGACTAGACGCATTATCTCACTTCCAAACAGGGACATCTAAAGGTTACAAAAGTCCTAAAAGGCTTCCGATATTCTATCTTAGACTTATACCATACTAAACATGAGTACACAAAATTCCTCTACTCCTCTCTTCACCGTAGGCCACCACGCTTCCGCTGCGTCACTCTGATACATCTTAGTAGCTTCTAAATGGATGTTAAGAGTACTCTTTTGTCCTCCCTCTAAGATCATCTTCCTAAATTCAAGATTACTAGGCCATAGATCCTATCATTGAACCCCAAAACACCATCAACTTCCACTCGTAAAGGGCTATCTATACCCCTACCAATCCTCTCCACTTGGTTCACTAAGAAAGGATCTAACTCCTAGGCTTCTCTAATCTCGTCCATTAATTCATTAGTCACTTTCAACATAATTGATTCAATGCTCCTAAAGGTAATCTCACACACCAAGCTTAAGTCTCTAAACTCTTCAATCAAATCCAACTCTTAAATCATCAAAGATGATAGATGAAAGATCATCCTACTCAAGGTATCTTCTAGAATAATAGCTTTATTTCTACGACCCTCTCCAAAGATCAAGTGCCTAAGCGTAAGTTCACTAGGTACACAGAATCGGTCTCCAAGTCTTACCACTTCATCTATACCCAAGGCAACTCTTCTCTCCATTACCTTGTCCTATAGCTTCATATCTTGTCACCAAATTGAATCAACTAATTATGCTTCTCCAATTTCCTTCAACAATCCACTCGTTACTCGAGTCATACCTAGTCTCACACTACTAAGGGTAACCTCATAAGCCAAACTTAAATCCTTAGACTAAGCCAAAAGATCCATCTCTCTAACCATAAGGAAAGGAAAATATAAAGGTTTCCTACTCAAAGCATCGATCACCACATTGGCTTTACCTAGATAACAACTAAAATTAAAATCCTAGTCCTTAAGAAATTCCAACTATATCCTTTGGTCAAAAGATATTTAAGGCTCTAACGATCACTAAATACCTCAAGTTTAGAATCATATAGGTAGTGTCTCCAAATCTTAGTGTAAATATCATAACTACTAACTCAAGGTCATGGGTAAGGTAATTCCTCTCATGAATTCTCAATTTCCTAGAAGCATAAGCTACTACCATTCCTTCTTGCATCAACACTATGCCCAAACCCATCCTAGAAGCACCACTATATACCACAAAAGACTTACTAAATCTAGTAGTATTAACACTAATCAATTTTTCCTTAAGAGTTTGGAAACTACTCTCACACTTACTATCCCACACAAAGACAACACTCTCCCTAGTTGACCTAGTCAAAAGTAATGTTATCTTAGAAATTTCCTCAATAACTCTCCTATAATAATAAGCTTATCTAAGAAAACTCTTAACCTCACTAATTGACTTAAGTATCACCCACTTAAGCACAACTTCTATCTTAGATAGACTTATGTTATACCTCTGCTAGAAATTACAAAACCTAGAAAACTCGTCTTATACAATAAAAAATCATACTTAGAATACCTACTTCAAACAATCGATATATATCATTCCTAAGCAGTACGAATCAATCACCATTTACTCCATATAGCATGTACATGAACCAACTTTACACATAACATCATACAACCTTAAACAACCTCTCAATCCACATGACATCTCAGAATCATGACAAAAATCAATTTTTATCCTTGCATTTCCTAACGATTCGAAAATATTATGACACCATACATATCCCTTCAATAACGATAAAAGAAAATGATACCTAGAGAGTTATGATCATCCAAATGATCTCAAACCTATCTCAAAAGAAAGCTAAGAGAATAAGCTACAACTCCTATGAAGACATAAGATTCTAAAAAGATCATCTTCTTAGCTAAAAATTTCAAAAACCGCAGCAGATATATTCAGAGCTTATAGGTAGACCTTTGATCACCAAAGTAGCTATAACTGGATTTCTAGACCTCCGTTTTACCTGATTTTAGTTCCATTGGAAAGATAACGTCCAAGGCTACAACTTTTGTGAAGACTCTAAAATCTAAATCTGTCAATATGGTACTCATACTGACACAACAAAACTGCAGCGAAAATATCGTCTACACCAAACAACAATAGTATATCAATATATGTAAGGCCACAAAAATACCTCAACCCTTCCAAACTCACACCTCAACTTCATATTCAAGCTTCCCACTACAATCCTAAACCAAAACAACTCACATATTTAGCACCACAGACTTAGAAAATAAAACTCACATGCTACCTAAACCATAAACGGTTAACATGCCAGCACAAACACTCAAGGGAATTACCAACACTTTCAATCTCTCATCAAGGATACCAAAACTCCAATTCTCAGATACAACCTCCTTGGATTCAATCGCTACAACTATAGATTCTAGAAAATCCATTAACCGAAAACTCTCGACAAATCAATCTCTCACCCAAATCTAAGGTCCCAATATTTTCTAGTTGATTAGCACAATATCTCGTTTACTACTACTCGCACATATGCTTGCAACACAAGCGATACCACCCAACCACTACTTCTTACGTAAGAAGTATCAAAAAATTAAGCACTCATAAGAATGAAGAAGAGCAGTCACAATGATATTAGCTAACACTATCTATTATTCCTCTAATTACAATATAATCTAACAGTATAAAACTCAACAATATCAACACAAGGAGAACATCATCATCAAAGCAAAGCATCATCAAAGTATACAATAACAAAACACTGTCAGAGTACACAACAGAATCATGATAAGTACATAACTCACGACCGATTAGATCAACCAGGTTTTGATACCACTTAATGTGACACCCTCTACCCTAACATACATATACAATAATTATAAAGAAACCATGCAAATTAACACTACACTTGTGAGTCATGTGCAATTTAGTCCAAAATTTGTATTTAAATTATCATTATTTTAAAAATGTTTAAGATAACTCACCCATTTTCTTTTTTTATTTTTAAAAATTAACATAATCCATTAGTGATTGAAACACGATTCATTCATTCCTAATATCTTTACTCACATTGTCTTTTTCACTCTACTTGTTTTTCCTTACATTTTCTTTTAAAACTTTAACTTCTATTTTTTTTTTAATTATTGAACCTTTTTTATTTCTTGTAGTAAAAAAAATAATACTTTCTTTTCCACTTTATCAATTTTCTAATTATTTTTCTCACTAGGATATAGAGAAGTGAGATAGATGACTCCAATAATTTTAAAAAAAATTATACATATAATATTTTTATAAAAAAATGTACGGTCAAAATATACATATTTAAAAGTCAAAAATTAAGTTGCACATGATCCAAATATCATGATGCAAATTTACATCACTTTACTAAAATATATATTAAAGGGAATGCCTAGCATAGTGTAAGAATGATAATATGGATTCAATTTAGTGGACAACCTATCAATCTACCTATTTTTGATAGGTTGGATTAGACAAATAAATCCATAAATCCATTAATGTAAATTAAAATTTTTAAATATTTTTTTTTAGAAAAAATGATAAGTTGAAATTGAATCCACTTGCCTACTTATCATTTTTATCTTATTAACTCACTAAAATAGATGAATATGTTAACTTATTATTTGTTTTGATGGATCAAACCATCTTACCAGAGGCTGATGCATTTTTGTTTTATTTGATCAACAAACATTAGTATAAGTATTGTAGGGGAGAATTCAGAAAGAAAGAAAAAAATGTATTATAGTGGAGATCACGTGCATGTCACGTGTAGAACTTCGTTTTGTTTAGGTGGTTCACCATAAACCACTATAGGTAATGCACTTCAAAATTATGAGGCACAAAGATTACCATAAAATGATATTAAAAAAAAATAAAAATAAAGGTGGAGCTGTTAACTTGTTGTATGGTCAACATCAGTCTCCTCAAAGCAAACTTTTTGACATTGAGATTATTATCTTCTTCTGTCACTAATCCTAAGATTCATGGCTCTAGATGCCAAGGACCTCAAATTTGCTCTAGCTAATGTTGATGAGGGTAGTCTACTAGTAGTAGACTGTTCTTGGCTCCTATAAGTTTGCATGAACTCTTCTCTTTGCAACCTGAGAGCCAAAGCTGCATCCTCATGTTGGCGGCTTGCAGAAATCCCTCCTCTTCTTGCCCCCACTCTTTGCAACACACGAGTTCTAGTTGTTGTTGTTCCATGGCTTTGCTCATCAATTTCTCTCTGCAACCTTCTGGCCAATGCAGCATCCTCATCCTCTTGTGTTGTTGATGTTGTTGTTGTTGCCACACTCCTCCTTGAACTTCTGGTTGATGCCCCCCTAGATGGTGGTGTGCTTCTATTCCTTATGTTGGCATAAAATGCTGTTTCTGGACTCAGATTTTGAGCTTGTTGTCGAGCATTCAAGGCACCAGCTGCTTTCCTTGCTTCAATTTCTTGGGGAAACAGAAGCTGAATTGTGTTCCAGAGGACTGTGTTCACAGTGCACGATCGTCCATTGCTGCAATGTATCATATCATGAAGGGTTATAGATAAGCTAGCAAAAAGTGAAATGCTTGTGGAACAGAAAACCATTAATTAAGAACATGTGATTTTGTAAAGTTGCACAAAAAATTAATAGACTAGTAACCTTATTAACTGCCTGCATTTTGGGCATTTTTTGCCACATTTGTCAGCGGCGGATCGTAGACATTTTCTACAAAAGCTGCAAAATTGATGAATCATAATCAGAAATCTAGGAATTCATGTGTTAAAGTTAAATTGGCCACCACAAGGGAAATTTTCTAGCATAATTTTCTGCAAAAGCTGAAAAATAGTAGATTCTGGATCAGAGTAGGTGCTAGGAGTTGATATACTAAAAATTAAATTGGGGTACCCTAAAGGCATATTTCTAACACAAGGTGAAAAACTGTAGATTCTAGATCAGATATCTAGGAGTTGATGTGTTAAAAGTTAATTTGGGTAGCCCCTAAAAGAAAATTTCTACAACACAATTTTCTACAAAAACAAAAACTAAGTAGAATCTAGATCAGAAAACTAGGAATTCATTTGTTAAAAATTAAATTGGGTACCCTAAAGGAAAATTTATAACCCAATTTTCTACACAAACTAAAAATTTGTAGATTCTAGATCAGAAAACTAGGAATTCACATGTTAAAAATTAAATTGGGTGCCCTAAAAATTGTAGCACAATTTCAATGGTTCAAATAAAAAGTTCTTTATGGTGGGGTGTTTGTATTTTGATTTGTTACATACCTGTGACCACAAGGAGTGGTACTTGGCTCATAGCATATCTCCAAACAAATCTGCAGTTAGCAAATAAAATATCATATTCATGTCCTAACAAAATATGAAACTAACTTGTAACAAGCATCAAGCATCACAAGGCTCTTACAGCACATGAAAGCTCTTCCCTTAGTTTATCCATGCAGGGAAGAGCAGAACTAGAAGAAGAGACACCCTTGTTCTTCTCGGTCAATTCATTCCCACCCTCTTCTACTTTGCTTCCCTCGTTAACTTTCTTTCCTTTCTTCTTTCTCCCACTATCTGTCAATCAAAACAACATAACATGAGTGAGAAGAATACACATGAAAGCAAATAAACATAAAATTGAGACATCTAAGACAATGAATGACCTTTTTTGGGAGTTTCTTCTTCATCAAGATCAAGAATAGCTACAGGTTGTGGAGTCCTCTGAGCTCTACGTTTCCTATAGCATGATAACCAATCAAATCAAGTCACTTTACTAGAAACAAAGAACCAATCTTTACAAAGAAAAAAAAAACCACAAAACTTAAATAAAATTCCCTGGGTGCTCTTAGTATTGTTTTCACTTTTTCAATCAGAATTACAGTTTTATAAGAGAAGTTTGTATCAGTCTATCACATTACTAATATGAATCTTCAATTCTGATTACTAAATAACATTAAAACAAGTAAGATATGTTTTAAGTTGTTCTTAGTATTTACATTTTTCCTATCGGAATCAGAGTTTCACCTTAATAATTTGCGTAATAAAGATTTGTATCTTTCAATACAAAATACTCAGATAAAACATCAATTCTAATTTTTAATCGACATCAGAAGCACTTAAGAAATTAGATCTTAAGTTAAAGAAAAAGGGTTGAAGCTGAATTGAAGAAGGGTACACACTACACACACTACCTTGAAGAGTTGGTAGGTGGGGTTTTGGAGTGCAAAAGAAATCGCCTCTTGTGGTTGGAATCTCTGTCTGGCGTGTCTTCAACGATGAGGCTGGCCAATAACAGAGCCTCTTCATCCCAACCAGCCATAGCTGCAGCGGATTTGAACCTTGGGCTGAAAAGGGTCGCAATATTTTGGCCATTCGAATCTGCTAATGCTACCTTCTCGCTTCTGGGGCTGCGTTTCTGTTCTTCACCCACCGCCATTTTCTTCTCCTCTATACTTTTCGAGTCACACTCCCACACTTCCAACGATTATTTTGAATTTTCACAACGGTCGAATTATTTTAAACGGCTTCCCTGTGCCGGCCATTGCAACGGATATATTTTCGAGGGCAATAATGTCAAGGGCTCGTTCCATTTTTACTGCATTATGTATATTATTCTATATTAATATATAAAAGTAATATTCTCTTTAGTAATCACTTTGTTCTTTATTTTTTTATTTATTATTATATTTTTTATTTTAAAATAATTTTAAAAAATATTTTTTAATCAAATTTAAGAATTTAAAATTAATGAATTAATCATAATATCAATTAGATTAATATATTTTTATTATTTAATTTTAATTAATATTTTATTTTTAATTGAGATACAAAGTGCGTCGGCTCCATTAATATATAAAAAAAAATTCTTTTTAATAATCACTTTCATTTTCATATCTTGTTGACCATTATATCTTTTAATTTTAAAAAAAACTAAAAAATAATATTTTTATTAAATTTAAGATTTTAAAATTAATAAATTAATCATTATACCCTTTACTTAATTTTAAGAAAGAGTTTTTTTTTTAAAAAGAGTTTTGAATAATTCAAATTCAAGATCTTGAAATTAATAAAAAAGAGAAAGGGTTTTTTCTTTCTTTCTAGTACGTGTATAATGTTAACACTTGCTTTTATTATTAATGTACGGCTAATTTTGCTTTTTTAAAGAGAGTTGAGCATTGTAAATAAATAATTAAAAATTAGAAATATGAGTAAATGTATTAGGAATGAACAACTAAAGTAGTAAATAATTAAAACTGTATCCGAGTATTTGATGAGTATCAAATTTTATTTTATAGAGAGCAATTAATGGTGGAGTTTCCCAAAAAAAAAAATTCTTTTTCTTAAATGGTATATATATATATATTTTATTATATTATAGATAATTTAAAGTATATGTATTTAAGTATTTTTTTTTTGCTCTTTTAAAATATTTTGGTAAGCTGTCATTGATTATGGATATGTTTCTTAAGAAAAAAAATTCTGCTTATTTTTTTTATTTTTTTTTAACTTTGTAATGATCTAAGTATTAAATTGGTACAACTATAACATAAATCATAGTTTTGAAAATGAATCAAATCAATCGGTCAAACCAATTCAATTGAGAGTCAATCTTGAATTGGTTTGATTCACTTGAAGAACCGTTCTGCATCGAACATTTTAAAAATTGGTAAAATCAATCAAAATTAGTAAAATCGATTTAAATCGATCCATTTAATTTAATTTAATTTTTAATTTTTAAAATTTAATTTAAAATATTATTAAGAAAATTCATATTTAATAAAAAATTATAAATTAGAATAACTTATTTCTAATACTTGTTTCATAAATATAATTTAATCATGTATGTTACTTTACAATTTTTAATATCTTTATTTTTTATAATTTATATTATATTAATTTGATACTTTTTATTCTAGCTGTAAACTTATTATTATTAATAAACATTATTATATTTTCTTAAAACTTAAACTTAAATATTATATTATATATAGTTAAGAATTTTACATATACATCACATCATTTGATGAACTTGAGTTATGAACTTAATTATGAAGTTCACTTATCAAAATCCGCTTTATATACCTTAGTGTTCCTCGATCCAACTCTCAAATGCGTAAGTTACATCCCTTATAACTTAAGTCTAGGATCATCTAACATCTAACCCTTGCCTCAACACAGACAAAATAGCATAGAACAACTTAAAACAACATAAAGTATCAAGCTTAATTACATACATACTAAGAAAATCATAGTGTTACTAACTTAAAAGATGTTTTAATCAATTTTATTTGGTAATTATAAAGAAGGTGCTTTCTAGGGTGTACCCAATGAAGAAATGGTGCACCCAATTCGATGGATCATGTGTTTTACTTTTATTTTTTTTATATTCTTTTATTTCATTAACATTTTCAACTCCCTTATTTTCATCGTATTAGCTCCACATATGAAAATATAGTGAATTGTTATGGTATTGTTATGTACAAAGATAATCTTTATTATGGTGGCTATTGTTAACAAGGGAGGTGGTGGCCTTGGACCAATCTTTTAATGGGCTAATGTGGGGATGAAAATTTGCTCCACGATAAGGTAAAGGATGAGCTCATTGTAGGGATGACAAAATAGACTCAGATCCTATGGGAACCAAAAAGAATACCCGCTTGCAGGATGGGTAAATACTTGTTTATATGGAATCAGTATGGGGAAAGTATAGATTTGCAAAATTTAATGGGTACGGGTGTAGGTATGGGTACTATGGTACCCAACCCGCCCTACTATGCAATTATATATATATATATATATATATATATATATTAATATAATAATATAATTACTTAATAATAATTTCTTATTTATTTAAATTATATTATGATATTATAACTAAAACCCTATCTACCTTCATTTTTTCTTCTTGCAATCTTTTGTCTTCACCCACCCATTGTGTCGTCGTTTGTCATCAACCTTGCGTCTCGCCTTCCCTTGCCACTACTTACCATATCCTTGTGTCATCTCCATTGTCTGCTTGCATCTCACCTTGCATTACCGTCGCTTGTGTTTCCTCCTCATACATATTCAATAATTATGAAAACATATTCTTGGAGTAAATAAATCTTTTGAATTAAAACCATGGTTCCACTAACATGAGAGTAGAGAATTCACATTCGTAAACATAATCATAATTCACTTGCGGAAATTACAGAAAAAATAAAGTTGAAGGTTTTCCAAAACAAAAGAAAGAAACTAAATTCCAAAACTAAGCCTAACTATGCCCCGATGTCACATATTCTATCATATCACTCCCAACTGAAGCCTAAGCCTCATTACCAACATCCTCATGCTGATAATCACCTGCAACATAATTTAAACACATACAAGAACAACAAGGGAGTGAGAAACATCTCACTCAGGTTCAAGTGCAGAAATAAGGTTAGATAACACACACACAATAAACATAAGTCACAAGCACAAATCACATGTAAACAATACACATACACAATCAGTATCACATGCACACTCATTTATCATGCAATTATGTCATGGACTCGACTCATAAATGCATGCATGTGGCGCCATACAGAAGTTTCACATTTCTCATCACTGGAATAAATCATTTTATCACTGATGACTCAAGGTACACCTGGAATAGCTTGTTACATCACTGGTATGCGGCCTAAGCGGCACACCTGGAATAAATCATTTCATCACTGCTGACCCAAGGTACACCTGGAATAGCTTATTACATCACTGGTATGCGGCCTAAGTTTCACACTTGGAGTAAATCATTTCATCACTAGTGACCCAAGGTACACCTGGAAAAGCTTGTTACATCACTGGTATGCGACCTAAGCAGCACACCTGGAATAAATCATTTCATCACTAGTGACCCAAGGTACACCTGGAATAGCTTGTTACATCATTGGTATGTGGCCTAAGCGGCACGCTTGGAGTCATATATGCACATGATGCATGTCACACATTCACTATTTTATTGACTCAACATTTCACTTATCACGTCTCATCATATCTCATGTCATATTATTTCATAATATCATATCACAGATCATATGTTCACCTTTCACATTCTCACTTCATATTCACATAGTCTCATACAAGGAACTTCTCGTAGTCATATACATCAAAATAGGACATAAATCATACCAAGAAGTTATCCAACATCATACCCATTGAATTCACAATTCATAATATACGAAGCACAAGGGCCATAGATTCAACTTCATGATTTCCCACATTTTCTACAACCAACCAGTTAATATAATATTTTAATTGTTCAAAACACTTTAACTATTATCCAAAACATGAATCCATCATCAATTTTACATATCATGCCTCAAAATTCATCCAAAGATCATATCCCTAATTTTACTTCATAGGGTTTTCCACAAGAACCCACAAAGCATTCTAATTCATATTAAAACTTGTCTATTTTTGAAATTAAACACATATTTACGCTCAACATCGCACAAGGAACGTAATAGAACATTCAGAAAATAAAATAGAAAACATTGATATTTTGCTTGTTCTTAGAAGCATGCATCAAGTAAGGGATTGGGACCCATCCTGCTACTCAACAAGTAGAAGATGAAGCTAGAGCAAAATCTGGTTGATCTCCTTCTCTTGGTTCTCCTTGGTCTTCAGAGAGTGTGTCCAGGAGTAGTGCCAGAGTCTGCTATTTATAGATGTTAGAAGTGGCCAGAACGACCCGTTTTGGATTCAGAACAACCCATTCTAGATCCTTTCATCGTGTGTTAAATTCGCATCTGGAACGACCCGTTCTTAAACCAGAACGACCAGTTCTAGAGTTGATTTTAACTCATAATGGCCATGTTTAGAATGGCCCGTTCTTAAACAAGAATGGTCCGTCTCCAACTAGGGTTATAGGCCTTTTTGGTGGTTTAGAATGCCCCATTCCAGTTGGGAACGGCCCGTTCCCAACTAGGATTTATAGGCCTTTTTAGTAGTTTGGAAGGACCTGTTCTAGTTTGAGAACGACCCATTATGGGCTACTAAATCACCCTTATTGAGCTTTGAGCCTTCATATTGTAACGACCCGCCGTGGTCTCTACATTTAATGGAATCGCACTAAGAAAAACAATAACTTATCATGCAATGATGTCATGGACTCGACTCATAAATGCATGCATGTGGCGCCAGTCACATATCTCATCACATATCACGTGGTATGCTGCCAAAGCAACATACTTGGAGTAGTCTAGGAGTACATGTCGGCTCAACCGCGCACTCTCAACTAGAAGGAATGTACTCTAAGGTCTCCCCAGGATAGCGAAGCCGTGCAAGATACATCCCATGCACATAAACAGACAAAACTAGGCCTTCCAAATCGTGTTATCCCCTAGGACTCCTCCGAGATGTTTAACCCGAAGGGCCTTCCCTAACGGTGTACTCCATATCATACCTCATTACATAGATGCATATGATGCATGTCACACTTTC